ACACTGGTGAAAGAAAACTTGCAGACTGGCAGAAAATTTAGAAGAATCAATAAAAGTCATCTTCAAAATTACAACTTACTTGTTTCCTTCACCATTATATACCCATTTAGTAGTGCCAATTCCTTCATAGGTTGAAGCCCAGTAATAAAAGCAGGCATTAATGTGTAGAGTAAACAGCAAGTATCCAGTTGTGCGAATGACTCTGTCAAGGAGAATAAATGCAAAGTAAGGACTCGTGTTGTTTCTGGAATAAAGCCTAGCTTAACATTTTTTTTCCCTTGAAGTCACTGAATCTCCTTGCTTTAAATCTGCCAAGTGTTAACTCTCATTAGTACAGTATAAAATGATGGTGTCATTGCATGTTTTCTGACTGCACTGTCTTGACTGAGATTGACAGAGTATAAAAAAAATACTTCATTTCTTTTCACAGATGGTATGAGTCAACTTCCTGAAAGACATGCCTCAAGGGTCACCTCTCTACTTTGAGTCCTATAAAATATGACATACTTCTTTAACTGGATATCTCTGAAAAGCTCAAGGGACTTTATGCCATGATTAACGGTGGCTAGAGATCTCTGTGCAAATGAAGTTCAGAACAGAAAATGAATGAAATTCAGATTAGAATGAATTGCCATGAGAGAAATGTAAAGTTAACTCACAAAAGTGCACATTTATGTGTACTTGTTCTGACTGAAACTGGGAATATGTCCTATTTTTTTAGTCGCATAATTTTCTAAAATCTAATATGATTTTCACACTTTTATCTCACTCTAAATATTCCAGTCAGTTTTAGAATATAACCCTATATTTTTTTATAGCCAAAAAATCTGAAATTATCACCCTTTCCCGAGAAAGTAGGTCATATTCTTCTCAAATGCTGTCTGCAGTGTTGTATCATTGCTTTCTTTCCAACACCAAAGTATATGGCATTATACTTTACCTGTAAATGTATGCTCTGTCCATTATAGCCTCTATGTGATGATTAAATTCAAAAAATGAAGTGTACTATGCAGAAAACAAACAAAAGAAACCCAAAGTGTGTTAGTCTTAGATACATCTATGTAAATAAAATGATACAAATTAGATTTTATTTGCAACTGAAAATAATTCTATTTCTATGTCTTTAAAAAAAACTAAGGCCTGTCTTATGTTCCTGTGGGCAGTACATTTTAGCATGGAGCTAAATCTTCAGAGCTTCTGCTTTATTTTATGTCTCTCTCTAATTATAGTCCTGTTTGTAATGCTTGTTGACAATCAAGTTTAAAAACATTTCTTTCCGTTTTCTTTTTGAAGCACATAAAACTTTATTTTACAATAATTAAATTCATACTCATGAAACATATGTAAAACTAGAAAAATATAAGATAATGCAATGAAGCCATAAATAGGTATTGAAGTCCTATTGCTCAACACCAGCATTATTTTTACGCATGTTGAATTAAAAGTGTATTTCAACATCAGAAGTCCAGTAAATATTAACATTGGGTAGGTATTCTATTTTTTTTTTTGGGTATTCTATTTTTTAAAAAGTATTTATGCATATAAGAACTGGGGTACAGGACCGAAGTTCAGGGTTTGAGAAGCTTCAGCAGAGCAGAGTGGGGAGCAAAGCAGGCAGATCTACTGAAATACACTGCTGAGGGGAGCAGCTGGCAAGACAGGAGAGGTCTGTTGCACCATGGGTCACCTCCCTGGCTGGATGGAACTAG